GAGGAGGAGGAGGAGGAGGAGGAAGAGGCAGGAGGGAAGATACAGGATGGCGGCGGAGAGGAGGGAGGAAGGAGGAAGGACGAGGGGTGAGGGAGGAGGCAGGAGGCACGAGGGAGGAGGGCGAAGGGAGGAGGGTGGGGGGAGGAGGGACGGGCCGGAGGAGGAGGAGGAGGAGGAGTGAGGAAGATGAGCAGGAGGGGGATGATTATGAGGAGGAAGGGAGAGGAGGGCGGAGAAGAGAGCAGGAGAGGGAGGCGGAGGAGGAGGTGGAGAAGGAGGAGGAAGAGGAGGGGGAGGAGGAGGAGAAGAAAGAGGATGGGACCGAGGGGGAGGAGGGAAAATGAGGGGAGGAGGAGGAGGAGGGATGGCGCAGGGGTGACATATGCTTGATGACTGGTGATTGATGATGATAATGATGAGGAGGAGAAGGAGGAGGAGAATTATGATGATGGTGGTAGTGATGGTGATGGTGATGGTGATAGTCATGGTCATGGTGATGGTGATGATGATGGTGCTGATGGTGATGATTATGGAGATAACGGTGATGATGCTGATGATGATGATGATGATGATGATGATGATGATGATGATGATGATGATGATGATGATGATGATGATGATGATGATGATCATGATCATGATGTGGAGGAGGAGGACGGGGAGGATAATGATGAGGAGGAGGGAAGAGGAGGAGGAGGAGGAGGAGGAGGAGGAGGAGGTGGAGGATGATGAAGAGGAGTAGGAGGAGGAGGGGGAGGAGGAGAAGGAGGAGGGGGACGACGACGAGGAGGAGGAGGAGGGAAGAGGGAAGACGAGAGAGGCGGAGATATGAGGAGTAGGAGGAGGAGGAAGCGGAGGAGGAGGTTGGTCGGTCCGATCCGGGATTGAGGCGATCCTCGTGCCTCATCGGGTGGCGCGTCCCCCGTGCGACAGGGTTACTCTTGTTTTATTTCGCGTCGCACACCTGCACTCCCCCTTTCCCCCCCCCCCCCTCCCCGCGTCCACAGCGCCAGAGTGGGGCCACCGCGCCGCGGCTCTCTGCCCCGAGCCCCCCCGCGCCCCCAGCGCCCCAGCAGGAGGCCCGCCCGCTGCCCTCTCCGCCACGAACGCTGCATCCCGCGTCGCACCCCCCCTCCGCCCCCCCGCGCCCCCAGAGCCAGTGTGGGGCGCCCTCGCCGTGGCTCTCTGCACCGAGCCCACCGCGTCCCCAGCGCTCCAGCGGGGGCCCCGCCCACTGCCCCTTCCGCCACGAACGGGTCCTATCACCAGTCGCCCCCCCTCCCCCCCCCCCCCCCCCCCCCCCCCCCCCCCCCCCCCTCCCCCCCCCCCCCCACCACCCCCCCCACCCCCCCCCCCCCCTTCCCCCCCGCCCGCGCCCCTGGCGCCAGCGTGGGACCTCCGCGCCGCGGCTCTCCGCCCCCAGCCACCCCGAGCACCCAGCGCCCCAGCGGGGCCCCCGCCCGCTGCGCCCTCAGACACGAACGCTTTATTACGCTTCGCCCTCCCCACACCCCCTCCCCCCCCCATCCGCCCCCCCCCCCCATCCGCCCCCGGCCGCCAGAGTGGGGGCCACCGCGCCGAGGCTCTCTGCCACGAGCTCCCCTGCGCCCCAGCGCCCCAGCGGGGGCCCGCCCGCTTGCCTTCCGTCACTAACGCTCATTCCGCGTCGCGCCCGCGCACCACTTCCCCCACCTCCTTCCCGCGCCCCCAGCGCCCCAGCTGGGGCTCCGCCCCGTGCCCCCTCCGCCCCGACAGTTTTATTCCGCGTCGCGACGCGCGCCACCTCCCCCCCCCGCCCCGTTCCCCAGCGCCCCAGTTGGACCCCCGCCCCGTGGCCCTCTGCCCCAAGCCCCCGCCCAGCGCCCCCCCTCCGCCCCGACAATTTATTCCGCGTCGCGGCACGCACCACCCCCCCTCCTCTCCGCGCCCCCAGCGCCCCAGTGGGACCTCCGCCCCGTGCCCCCTCCGCTCCGAGCGCATTATTCCGCGTCGCGACGCACGCCGCCCCCCCTCACCCCCCCCCCTCCCCACCTGGGGCTTGGGCCCCGTTGCTGGGCCCAGTGGGCGATGCTTTGCCCCTTATTCCCTCCTTCCTCCTCCACCTCCTCCTCCTCCTCCCCCTGCTCCTCCTCCTCCTCCGCCTCCCCTCCTTCCCCCTCCTCCCCCCCCCTGCCTCCTCCTCCTCCTCCCCTTCCTTTTTTGCGCAAGAGCCATGGCGCACGTGCCACTTGTTTATTGTTAGTTGCGAACATGATCGTCCTCTTATTAATTGTTTTGCCGATCGGCGCGGCTCTCGCACCCCCCCCCCTCCCCCCACCCCCTCGTGGAGTAGAGCTTGGCTGCTTTTGGCGCCTGTTTGAAGCAGGTGAGGGTCTTCCCCGTTGGACGCACTGTCGGAAACAGATGCATTGAGCAGAGGTCTGGAGCCAGACCCCCCCCCCTCCCCCCCTCTTCCACCCTATATCGCAATGCCGAATGCTCAAACGTTCGCAAGCTCCGCGCGGATTTCTTGGATCGACGTTGGGCCCCTTGGTGGCGCCTTCGGCGCCGCCCCTGGCGCGCTCCGCGCGCCGGGCAGCGGGATCCAGCGCCGATCCGAGAACTCCGCGCGGACCTCGGAGAAATGATTCACCGTCGGTGCGCTGAAGAAGGAACCCTTCTCGTTGAGGAGGGGCTCGGTGCTCCTTGATTGTTTCACAGTTTGCCTTAGGCTTTTTGTTAGGCTTTCGAAGGTAAATCGAAGTTGAACTTGTGGGAAATAGGGGCCTCGTTCCGTATTTAGGGTTCCTTAGGTCAACGCCCCGACTGTATGATATTCATGCCGTTTTTTGTTTGTCTAGTCGGGGTGCATTTGTTGGCGTTCCGGACAGGGCCTCGCCCTTCGAGGAACCGAAGGAGATGGCATCCTTGGTGGATGGCGGCGCAGGCAAAACGGGGCCGTCTCCGCTGGCGGACGCGGGCGGAAGTGAGCATCGGCCTACCACGACCTGTGGTTCGAAGATGGGGCCCTGAGGACGAGGTGCCTCAAGCAATGTACATGCACCCTCGGACCCCTCCCTATCCTCAGGACCCCATCCCTCAGGACCCCAGCTTGGAACCACCGGCAAGAGCTGCACCCTTCTCTGGGGGCTCACGCTGCCTGCACACGGCTCGCGTGCGGGCCTGCCTGCCCCCTGGCCATCTGGCGCCTCGCGCCCCCCTGCAGGCGCAAGGGCCCCCTCCTCCTCCTTCCCCTCCTCCTCCTCCTCCTCCTCCTCCTCCTCCTCCTCCTCCTCCTCCTCCTCCTCCTCCTCCTCCTCCTCCTCCTCCTCCTCCTCCTCCCCCGCACCTCTCCGCTGCCTGGCCCCCCTGGGCCAAATTCTCCCCCCCGGGGCCGTCTCCCGACGGCCCCGGGCCCTGCAAGCAGGAGCCAGGTACTTTCCCGACCCTGCGCTGAAATTCGCACAGGAACGCGGATTCTGGTGTAAACGGGATTCTGGTGAAAACGTTGTTTCCCCGGGAAAACGGGGAAACAAGAATACACCACACCACCCCGACGTCGTCCCCGACCCTCAAAAAAGTCCTGGGGTTGAAAAACAGCCCGCCGCTGGTAATGTATAGGTTCCAGTTTCCGACCAGGGGTGAAAGGCAGTCAAGGACCTCCGCCCGGAGCTCTTCTCGGGGGCATCGAGAGTGGGGGGTGACAGGCACAGGGGGGGATGCAGCGACCGCCGATCGCCCACGGATCGCCGATGGGGGCCCGATAGCCCCACCCCGCCCAGGAATGTGTGGATTCCCCTATCGGGGTCCTATCGCCGATCTATCGGCGATGTATTGCTGATTCCAGGCCGATGTGCCCCCCCCTATGCCAGTCCCCTCCTTTCGTTGCCCCTCATTTTCGGTTCGGTAGGTTCATGCGGCGATGGCGCGCCGGCGATGCTGGCGAAGGTGTTCAAGGTTGAG